TTCAAATGAGTGACCACATGAAGCATCTGGGACTAGGCTTCAACACAGAGGAAGGGATTCCGTGGGAGATGCCAGCAATTAATGTTTTCCCTGACGCTTCTCCCTCTCCTGAGCTTAGCCCTAGTGCCTTGAGGGGGGCATTCGAAACAGGGCTTTACCATTGGTCCTGTTGCGAATGCCCCCATCCCCAAGGGCAATTGCCCCCTTGTTTGTCAAAGGGCATGCAGTTAGCATCGAAAAATGACAAAAGCTAACATGCTATAAAGGACAGCACGCTTGAAAGCGAAGAAATTCAAGCTCCAAATAGTTAGTGGGAAAATTTTAAGCCTCAAGAGTGAGAACTGAAACAATAATTGAAGCGTAAAATTATGCAGAGATCAAAATACCTCGATGGCGCAGACTTCAGCATCCGCAGTGGGACTGGTATCAGCTGACGCCCGTACGCCTTCTTCCATGACCGTCCTTGCTGCCGCATCAACACCTTCGACTTCAACTCTTAGCGGTTTCATAACGACATCGTGTTTCACACAAGCAACATTATCCTCTTTGGAAGTAAAATCACAAGACAGGGTGGCGCGGGCTTTTGAAGCAGACAGTGTCTTGGACAATGTACATGAAGTCATGCTCGCGTTGGACCTCTTATGGCTTTGATTCTCTCCCGACTTCTCTTCGGTAGCCACGGCTTTACAAGATCTTTGACTAGATCTTTGGACACTTCCCTGTTCTTCAACCTTTTTGTCACTTCTTGAGCGCTTTGAATTCTTGTCCTTAGACGCGTCCAGAACTGAACCTCGTGCTCTTCTATTTGACTTACAAGGAAACACCTCTCTTGCTAAGGTTCGTTCTCTCCGCTGTTCTGCGACTGGAACTCGAACTCTTTTTAGGATCCCAGTCAGAGCTCGACGATCTAGGGTGCCTTCTGCGTTCTTTCGCTGAATAATGCGCCTCGGTTCGATAATCACGGTCCTTCGCAGACTTGCTTCTCTCTTTCGTCAATGTTCGCTCACTACTGGACCGCCCATCACATGCATAAGTTGTTCGCCTTGTACAACTCCTCCGTTTACGTTTTGGT